ATTTTATGTATGCATAAAATTAATGTAACATTATATGATACTAATGATTTAACAAGTATTTATTAACCTCGTTGTTTCAACCTTTAAATACGATTTATCTGTTTTTGAATTCTATATAATTATGATAAATACCGATCGAATATATATGTTAAAATTTATAAAAACAACAACTAATTATAAAATACTATTATATCTATTTCTAATTTTCTTATTTATTTTTTAATTATTATACTTGAATTAATACATTACTTATTAGATTATACTTGAATAATAAGAAAAAAATAGAACAAAAAAAAATACTTTTTATGAATAACAATAATGAAATAATAATTACTTCTAAATATTCTATAATTAGTAAAAATTATTAATTCAAATTTAAGAACATAATATAATGTTTTGAGATATTTTTTTATGGTTAAGGAATAGTATTTAAAGGAAAGATGCAACTAGATTTAGTAGTAATGGTATATTTTAATTATTAACATGTTGCGAATGGTTGAAAATGATTGATCTAACACTAATATACTAAACATAAACCTCTTTGGGTATGCTTTCACACGGGATATAGAACCTCAGGAATCTTCACCTGGTATAGTTGATGAACAAAATAAACCTATAACGGTTATCTTAAATTCACCGACAATTTTGCATTGCTACGCTATCGGTTGGCCAAGACCGACCGTTACATGGTGGCGAAACGATAGCATGTTACCTTTATCATCAGAACACTATGAGCAAGAATCTGATAATACACTACGCATTCGTTCAGTAACCTTGAGTAATCTTGGTATATATACGTGCCATGCCTTTAATGGTGTTGGAAAACCGGCCGAATGGTCGACGATTTTACAAGCAATCGGACCTGTTGCTAATATCAGACCAGATCAAGAGAGATACATTAAATACTTAGTGCAAGCTCCTCAAAGACCTGAAAAGCCAACGTATCCTTATCGTCCAAATAGAACACAAATTCATGAGAATCAAACATACGCACCAATCTATACAACAAGGCGATATAATATCCCTCATGTCGTACCAATAAATATTACTACGCCCGTACCTAACGTTCAATATGCAAGTAAGTTAAAAATGAAATATATGCTTGGATTATATATTTTCATAATTAGTCATTCATGTTAAATTTAAACTGTAAGAATTACATATTTCATTTTTATGTACTATTTCTGCATTTGTAATTAATATGGTTATGGAAAATAACAAGAAAAACTACTAATGACTTTTGGTTGATGAAAAGTAGTTAGTGTTGAAAGCTTCTTATCTGCATGCATATTTTAATTATTTAGTTTTATCCAATTATATTTTGTTTATAAAAAATTTAGGATTTTTTGTACGTTTATGAAAATTGTTTCATTTTTACAGATAATATGAATAATCGTTAACAAATATTTATATTAAAATGTAAAAATACTTCATGTTGAAAATTTTTTATGTTTTAAATTCATCATTGCTACGTATACTTTATCTTTAATTATTTATTTAACAGCTCCTGTTCGTGTCAACATATCAGCATCCCAAGTTAATTTCCCGGAAGGCAGTATAATCAGCATACGATGTAATGTTAGAGGATATCCAACTCCGCGGATCACATGGTATAAAAATAACATTCCTATAAATACAGATGATCGCATTAAAATTTCTGGTAAATTAAAAGTTTTCTCTTTTTTTTAACTATATGATAAAATGTACAATATCGATTATGAAATTTATCTTTACCTTTGCAGAAACAAATGAATTATCAATATCACATTCTAATTCCAATGATACCGGCAATTACCGCTGTGAAGGAGTTAATCAACATTCTAGTAGCTCTGAAAGTGTGGATATTAATGTAGCTGGTAATTAAGAAAGAATCTGTATAATATTTAACTTTCTTTACATATTTATTAATAATATGATAATAAATATGTTTTAAAGGTATTTATATTGATCCACTTTGTCAAGACAATGTGCACTTAGCCAACTGCAGTCTCATCGTTGCTGCAAGATATTGTCAACATCAATATTACGCAAAATTCTGCTGTAGATCTTGTACCGTTGCTGGACAGTTGCCATCAAGGGGTGTACCCCCCTACGCTAATAATCAAAGAGTAAAGAGGTCCCTATTTTCTTTTTTGTAAAATATCTGAATATTAAAAATGCAAATCGTTTTTCCCAGTACTAGAGTTACATACTTAAAATGAAAATGGGTTTAACTTTGGTACTTCAATCTATTGAAAATACTTTTTACGCTTAGTAAAGAGCATGATGGAAAATCGAATTTTAGCACACTGCCAAAGCCTTGGGTCGTCTATACATGGAAGCCATAAGTTATTCAAAAGCAGAGTATAAGAAACTTTTTAATCCATTAATATAAATACAGCAAAGTAGTTTAATGTAGGTAATTGTATGCTCCTATGTATAGACTGATCTAATGCTGATTCCTAGTCCAACGGGCCTGTTTCGTAAAAACTATGCCCTCCGAGGTTACTAGAACTGCCTCCTTAACAGAACTCACAATACCTTTATAATCTTCGAAAATCACCAATCACCACAGAGATTTCAATAAATAAAAATAGAAATATTCGAATAGAAAATTAATGAGGCATTTTTTATTTATAAAAAAAGATGAGTCGGTTGAAAATTATAAAGAAAAAATTAGTTTTTTATTATAATATTTCGAATGGATTATCATTTTTAAAAAATAAAAAGCTGACCTATAATTTTTTACTATAATAGCGTAAAGAGAGTATCATGAAAAAAGGTTCTTGGTCGTTATAATAGATAATGTAGTACAACCATTGTACCTATGCCGTACATCTCAGATAATAGATATGATTACACATTTAGAGAGACTAATTTGAATTAATGTAAAGTATTGTACTAACATTAGCATTAACGTTGTAAATTACAAAAGTAATAAAACAATATATATTATTTATATGATTACAAACTTTTTTAAAGTAAAGCTGTTTATGATTGCACCAATAATTATATTTTAGTATTATGAAAATACCATTTCAATGAAACAAGAAATATTTACTACTTACAATTCGTATCATAAAGATTTGTGATTGAGCCATTGTTACCCTCAATTTAAAATACAAACTGTTAGATAATTAAAATACACTGAATCTCTATAAATTACATAATTCTAAATCATATTGCAAAGAATTATCTTTTGGTACTAATCATTATTGTCAAAATTGAGGTCAGTATCAATAACATTTACTTTTATATATATTTTATATTCTTTGAGATGTATGATAAGGTAACAACATTTATATGTATTAAGCTTATAAACATGTTATATTGTAAAGTATTAAATAGTTTTATTATATAATAACTATATGTGCATACTTCCTTGCTACATTGTCATGAATAAAATTATTAATGTTTATTATATATTGGATTTTATCTACGCGTTGATTTCAACGACTACTCGTTGGTACATCAGTGACAAACGAGCGATAGAGTGTTGACTTGATCAAAAGTTAACAGCAACACACGTAGGCAAATATCGTTTTACAAACGACAAAAGTCGTATTAAATTAGAAAAAAATGTCATATCTGTACAGTTTTATTATAAATTTAATTCAATTTACTGAAACAGAAAACTGTGTTTAAGTAATAACAATGTCGCATTTACGATTCTGTTCCTGAAGCATCAATAGTACAGTCATAATTATACCTGCAAGAATTTTGTTTCATTTTAATCAAGATTATTTATAGTTTGTAAAAATTATCAGTGTAAACTAAAAAAATATAACACCAACCAACATCTACTATTTATTATTTTATTAGCAAGTATTAATAATAATTACTTACATTTTTCTACTAGTTATTGTTTATTTAATCGTAATTTAATAAGTCATTATATTCATACAAAAATAAAGTGTATCATTGTTGGAGAATCGATACTTTTTTGGTTTACACTGCGATCAAGAGGCATTTATATCCAAAAATCATATTCTTTTTAATAATAACAAAGAATTCAATGTTTCATTATAGCTATTAAGCTGTCTTATTCAATTTCAGTCACGAATCATGTGCCTTATTATAGATAATAAGGAAATATTATGAAAAGATCACCGAATGTTACAAAAATGCTTAATTTTATAATTTTACCCAAAAAAATAAATTTCTAACCTTTTGATAAAAATTATATTATATGGAAAATATTTATATGGTAAGTCTCATTATAAGATTATATTTTGTCACGTTAACATTGAATAACATTTGGTATTCTTTTTTAGATTTTCTTATTAAGTATAATTATATAATTATCAAAAGAAGCAGTGACCATATTAATTATAATACATAGCTGTAGAGTTACTAAAAAAAAACTTGTATAAACCGATCTTCCATACCTACTAATATTAATCAATTAACAAAACTATTTTATACTTTCTTTTATATTTGTACAAGCCCGCCTACCATAGAATAGTCTTATACATCGAATTTTAAACCAAAATTGCATTAGAATCATTTCAAAGATAAAGTGAATAGCATATTGATGATAAATCATACAAAATATTAATAAACAATAATTCAAATTTATATCTATTAGTAATAATTTAAAAGATAAACTTTATACAAATTCATAATGTCAATGACTCCGATGTTGAAATACTTTACAGGGATCTATTTCTTTCTTACTTCAGGAACTTACCTCGCGTATCAATATTCATAGATTATTATAAAAAATCTGTTCTGATAGTTTTATAACTTTAAGAACAAAATAATGTGTAACAATCAATTTCTGCTGTGCTCAAACAAATAATTATACCTTCGATGTATACTATCTAAGACTTTCAGAACAGCAATAATGCGGCTTTAAAAAAAAAAGAGACGAGAGTCTTGTATTTGAGAAAATAAACAAGAGGATATTCGAAATACAAATTTTAAAGGAACATATATGAATCATATCTCAAAAATATTAAATTTAGACGTATAAATTGTCATTTCAGTGCTATATAAATCTTTTAGAGACAGATCTTTATTGTAATTTTTAGTATTTTAGAATAAGGATTAATATATGATTCTTCGAAGAAGCATAGGCAAATGTGAATGAATGCCATTGTAAGCATATATTGTATGGACAATAATATTATTTAAGGTCCTTAAATACACAATTAAATATAAATAAAAAAATCTATGTATTATTTCTTTCATATAATATAATTAAAATGTAACACTCATTCTGCGTCTTCAGTTCTTTGTGGATTATTCAATAAAGAGGAATGCAAGATAATTTGCTTATTCTCTTCCTCGATCATACCGGTCTGTTGCATTCTTTCGGTAGCCAATCTTTCAATTTTCGCAAACAAATCACTATGAACAGCTATGCACTTCCGAAAATCTTTTCTATCTAGTCTATAAACTTCGCAGATATCAAGTGCGATGACAGTTGCAACTCGTCGCTGATTCTGCACCAAAAGTGCTACTTCACCAAAGTATGCGCCATCTTTCAGACAGCAAACCTTTCAATTAAATATTTGAGAATTGATTATTAATAATAAATTTTTGTTTTACCATTCCATAACCTCATATCATAAATAAAGTGAAATGGAATTACAAATCTTGTTTAGTAAATTATTTTAGTAAATAATTTAAATAAGAGGAAAGATTAGAATTGAAACTTAATCAGTATGTTATACATCTTATGACTACCAAAATGAAAATATGAAATAAATTTGGCAAATTACCTCCTTTCCGGTTGGTGTTAATACAATTACAGTGCCACTAGATAAAAAGTACATGCAATCTCCTTGAATACCAGCTTTTATAATTACATCGTTTTCTAAATACAATTCAGATTTTAAATTAATAACTATCTGTATTAAAACTGAATTTGGTAAATTTTGGAAAATCTTCACATTCTCAACAAGGCGTCTACAAGAATGTAATACGACTTCTTTTCGTAAAGCATCTTTATCGAATAAATGATGCGAATAAAGAATAAATTATTATATTATCATTTTAAAATCTGATATATATATATAAATAAGTAATTGATTTCATATAAATTCATCAAAATACAATAATAATATTTTTATAACTAACCAGATAAACTTGACAAAATTTTATGCTCTTGAAAATAACTATTTCTAAAATAGTAACTGTAATAAGCCGAAAGTCTTTTCTTCATATAAGCAGGAAGTTGTTTTTCTCTAGCGTAAGCCAAAAGTTGATTCACAATCTGTTCGTATTTTGATTTAGCAAATTGTCTATCGGCTACTGTTTGTAATAATATAACTATACGAAGAAACATTACAAATACTTGGCAATCAACAAAATTAATATATTTTCTTATTATTTATTATAAAAATTAGCGTACTTATTATGTAGCTTTCAACTAATCTACCAAGAATCATAAGAGAAGTGCAAACTACAATATCAGCTTCACTTTGTGGTTCAATTGAACCGTAACCAGTAGCCGTAAAATTTTCAAGAACAATAAAAAGAGCACACTGATATCTTTCAATAATTTCTTCAATTTCAATTGACTTTATGTAACTTTCCTTTAAAATTTTGAATGAGTTTTCAATAAATTGACAAATATCATTTTTCATTAATATTAATTTTTTAAATATGTTCATTTAGAAATATTTCTAGTAATTAATAAAATATGTTTTGAATATAATTTTTAATTAAAAAACAATTTATCAATTTAATTGTTTCATAAAAAACAACTAGTCAGATTTAAATAGTTATTTATGCATTATATAATAAAGTAAATAATATTAATATTTTTTAGTAAATAAATAAGCACAACAGTACAAATAACTATAGTAGGATTATAAGAAATAAAATAATTTGATAATAGAATAATAAAGCTTAAGTTGGTATTTATTTAAGTACACAAATTAGAAATTCTTGTACCATTATATACAAAATTTTTTTAAACTTATCTATTTATTAATTGATATTATTGATAGTATATTTTGAATATTAAAATAAAATTATATATACAATTTTATGATTATTTTTAATAATATTATTTCTAATAAATTTTATTTTTTAAACTAATTTTAATAAATACTAACGTTTGTAGATGCTTTTTCAGTGAATACATTGACCAAAAGTGTATAATTACAAAAGCAAGTGAACCAATGTAAAATGTAAAGACAAAAAAGTGAAGTTAAGAACATTTGACAAGATATATCTTCACAATTGAAATACTAAAATATAAAATAATTTTATATTTTATTAAATTATAAAAGAAAATATTATATATTAAAATATAAAAGAATATATTTTTGTAAAAAATATAAAAGAATTTAATTAATATAAAATTCATAGGATTAATATATTGATGCAAAGCCCTATAATTATGACAAATATTTTCTAATTGAAATTTCTAATATTTTTTATTATAATAATGCTGACGACGATGATAATAGCAATATCAATAGGAATAATAACTGCAACAATGTTGATGACGATAATAATGATTATACAGATTACGATAAAATTTTTTAAATAAAACTCAAAATAATCCATTTTTTAAGTAAAACTATTATATTATATATTGAAATGAATAAATTTACTGTTTACTTTTATTTCTCGATCTAATAGATGTATTATTATTATTTTTAGTGATACATTAAATATTTATTTACTGCTATTGCTTTACTTTTTCTGTACAATATTATACTATTTCGTATTTAATGAATTTGCAAATGAACTTATAGACATGCATGCACCAAAGAGTAAATGTTAAAGGGAATAAATATATAAGTAGGTAAAAATAAGATAGGGAAAAAGTGAAAAAGCTTGAGAAAGAGATACAGGAAGAAAAAGAGAGATAGACACTGGGATAAAAATTCGATATTATACATTCAGACAGGTCTTATTTCTGTTGCTAATAACCAAAAATCATTGTTTGTATATATTACAGTATTTTTGTAATAAAATATTGATATTTCCGATCATTCGGCATTAACTATTATGTTTTTCAATATTTCCACGACTCCGTTTTTTGTGCGTATAAATTTTTAACTATCGTCAATTATCTATCAATCTTATTATTATAATATAATTGAAAATTAGAATAAAATGTTGAATATCTAAAATTAGTATATAAAATAATATCAAATTAGTATTAATAACAAACATCTTATTAATTAAAATATATCTAAGAGATAATCTTTTTAAACGAACTTTCAATTTTAGCTATTCAGTAAGTTATGCTATTATTTACCAAATTTAATTAAATAAATCTATGTTAGATAAACTGTAAAATAGAACTTTTAATCGTCATAATACTAAGAAAAATATACCATAAACATGTTACCAAAAAAGTTTGCTTTATAAAAGATCTGAATGTTAAATAACGACTAAGTTTTAAAACAGGTATAAAATTAATCAATGTAGTAATAATGTATTCATCGTCGGTTTCAGCAATTTTTTTCCATGGATATGTAAGATAGTTATAAGGCAACGATGTCAAAATATCGATCAGCAAATAACCTTTCAAATAATTCCTAAAATGGTATATTGTTTTAATTAATATTTTTTTAACTAGTATTTTGCATGTTTAACATTAATACAAAATTATAAAAAAAGGTATATTGTTTGACATAAAGTAAAATGACATTAATTACACTAAAATAGTTCCTTGATTTAAAATCACTTCTCTCTTTTGTTTATCAAAAAATCCTGTGATACAATTACTAATTATATCAATCCAACAAATTATGTAAATAAAAGGATTTATATTTGATAATTTGACAGTTCTATATTCTAATATAATGAAACATAATGAAAATGGAATTACGAAAAATGCAGTAAAAAATACAACCATCATTATATTGTTCCAAAAGAATCTATATTTTTTAAAAAAAAGATATAAATATAAATATAGAAATTTTTACTTTATAAATCGTTATAATAAAATTATGTTTTACCTAATTTTACTAAAAGGATGAATAATCCACCAATGATTATTTGAAAAATGTCGCTTTCTTTCTTTATTTATAGTAGCTAAACTAATTAAATATTGCCGACATTTAGGATGATTTTCATTAATAGTTGTCCATGACCAGAACAAATTTGAAAATGTAGAGTAACAATATTTATTTGAAGATTCAGCTAGATCAGATGTTTTAATAAGTTCGCAGTGGTGAGTGTTTCTTATAAACATTTTTTTTTTTTTTAATTATTTTATTATCTTTAACAAAGTAATTTAATATAAATTAATATTAATATTACTTAATTATTAATACTTAATACTTAATATTAATATGTTGAAAAAATATTCTAACCAATCTGTTACTAAGTATAAATAGATGAGAACAAATGACTAAAGGATTCAATAGTATATGAATTTTAAATATGTCTATATTTTTAAATACTTCAGTAAGTTTCAATCATCCATCGTAAATATACATATACAAAGTAGCTCTAGACATTAATCAATATTTAAAAACTTATTAAAAATTTTTTAATTTTCGTTACTGAAATAGAAGTAAAATAATTGCATTTATAGATAACCTATTAAATTATAATTTATAATTTTTAATTTTAATTTATATATTTATAAAGTTGCGTATTGTCATAATTAAGTATAAAGTCAATAGTTACAAAATATATTACATACATATCTTTATTCTTATATCGAAACATCATTCAAATCTCGATTTTCATAATACAATTTGAATATTAGAGTTTGCATTTACATCGATATAATTTTATGTTGCTGTCTATGTACATAATTTAAATATCTTGTTCAAAATGTAGATAGATCAATAAAATTGGAAGTAAAGTAATACAAAGATGGAAAAAATACTGTAGTAATATTTGATATTGTTCAATCATGTTTTTAAATAATATTTAGAAATAATAATTAAATAAATGAGCTTTAAATTTATTTATAATATATATTTACTCGCAGATTAAAATGTATAAACTACATATAGGATATTAAGAATATTTTATCAATCAATATACCCAAAAATATTGAGGTCTTACATATTTATTCTATAATGATATTTTTACTATCATAACAAATTATGCGTTTACGGTTTTTTTTCTTCAAGATTTGTGTTACCAAGGTCTGAGCTTTAAAATCGTTCTTAAAAATGAATGTAAAAGCTTTAGTACGAAGGAAGAAGTATTGATAAAATGGTTGATTGACAAGTATTGATAAATTCTCCGCAATCCATTAAAAATGAACATATTATCCGCTTGCAAGGATACGAGTAAACAGTCCAGTAATTTTAAACATCCATCTTTACTAAAATTACAAAATTATTGTTAATACTTGTAACAAGCCTTATCAACTATTTTTCTTGGCTATTCATGGTGATTCACATGTACCCCCGGTAATTATTGGTCTAGTAAATAATGATAGAAATTCTAGTAATGCCTATTTATATTGCTCCGCTCTATACTATATATTACAAAGTATATTTTAAAAAATAATATAAAATATAAAATATAAAATATAAAATATAAAATATATAAATATAAAATATAAAATATAAAATATAAAATATAAAATATAAAATATAAAATATAAAATATAAAAAACTATTATAAAATATTTAAAAATAATAAATGTTAATTGATTTGCAGCGTACAGATATATTATCTATTTCATCTTTGGCATAGTATTATAAATGTTTAAAGCCTAAATAGTTCTAAATATTTAATATATTAGCATAAAATAAAAGTCCCCCTCTCCCCCAACAATCAACCACACTTATTATTATATTATATAGTTCCGCTTAGAAGTCATACAACCTAAAAGTTATAGGTTAAAGTAAGTAAAAATACATATGGCGGGAGCTGATTTATCATGTTGTAAATGTTCGGTTAACTTCCGTTCAGTATAAGGAATATATAATAAAGACAAGCTTATGCTATTGAGTAAAATATATCAATTACTAAAAATACAAAATTATTTTAAATACGCATGGGTTAATGTTATTCCGGAATGCAAAAGTTTCAGGTTACAGTCTTTTTTATTATAGCTGATGAGAAGGCGCCAGTTAACTTGAAAATTGCACTGCCAGTGGAAATAGGTATAATAATTTCTGTATTTATCTCCTTGACTCGGTTCAAAACTTTACCGACCACGTGACAGTCATAATCTTTACTATCGGCCGTAGATACAGTCATAGCAGAACTCACATAATGTCTAAACTGACCGTTAATTTCAAAGCGTCCGTATGAACTTTGATGCTTATTAAACATCTAATATACACAACGCTGTATTAATATCAGATTTTATCATCATTAATATCATAGTTTTTTTTTATTACCTTTTCAATATTAAAAATAATGATTACGGAAGCTGCAAATACCGTTGTCGAAGATGAAGATTTGGGAGATTGTCAAGGGCAAGCCAAACTTATTAAAACTTTGGAAGTACGTATGATATTAGTTAATACATCTTATTAATTTCATATACAATATTTCCATTCATAATAAAAATGTAGATAATTTATTTGTATATTTTTGTTAGAGAATTTGTATGAAAACAAAAATTAAAACTACAAGTTTATTTTTGTATTTAATAATTAGGAATGCTTTATTATGAAAACAAAATATTTTGTTAATACGTACACTTAAACACTGTTTTTAAATGAGAAAAACTGGAAGTTATTACAAAAAAAAAAATTAATTTAAGAATGATGTCGATTATTACAAATTTTAATTACTTTCATTGAATGATACATTAAGCTTGAATCAATGAAATGTATAATATAAATGTATTAATTATGTTTAGTTTTTTGTAGAAGAAAATAATAGTGTGAATAATAAAAATAACATGTTTTTCAGATAAAAATATTTACAATTAAATGTACAATAAAAGAATAATATAAGTTTTATAAAGAAATTTATAATTTTTATAACAATCTTTTTTCAGGGCAATGGTATTACAGCTGGTGATATCAAAAAATTGGAAGAAGCTGGATTTTACACAGTTGAATCTGTGGCATATACTCCCAAAAAGATTTTAATGGACATTAAAGGAATAAGCGATGGAAAAGCAGACAAAATTCTACAGGAAGCTTTTAAATTAGTTACAATGGGATTTAAAACTGCGGCTGAAGTACATATGATTAGAGCAAATATAGTTTATATAACAACTGGTTCTGCAGAATTAGATCGACTTCTAGGAGGTGGAATTGAAACTGGATCAATCACTGAAATTTTTGGAGAATTTAGAACTGGAAAATCACAACTTTGTCACACTTTAGCTGTAAATTGTCAATTACCTGTTGACATGGGGGGTGCTGAAGCCAAATGTATATATATTGACACCGAAGGTACTTTTAGACCAGAAAGATTAATTGCTGTAGCTGAAAGATATAATATTAATGGTGATTGTGTACTTGACAATGTTGCAACTGCACGCGCATATACCTCTGACCATCAAACTAAACTTTTAATAAAAGCTAGTGCTATGATGTCAGAATCTAGATATGGGCTATTAATTGTGGACAGTGCAACTGCTTTATATAGAACTGATTATGTAGGTAGGGGTGAATTGCAAGCTAGACAGAGTCATTTAGCTAAATTTCTCAGATTGTTGCTCAGATTAGCGGATGAATTTGGATGTGCTGTAGTAATCACTAATCAGGTTGTTGCACAAGTCGATGGTGCAGCAAGTATGTTTGGTGGTGATCAAAAGAAACCTATTGGTGGTAATATCATAGCTCATTCTAGTACAACCAGACTTTACTTACGTAAAGGAAGAGGTGAAACAAGAATTTGTAAAATCTATGATTCTCCATGTTTACCTGAAAGTGAAGCTACATTTGCTATAAATACAGATGGAATTGGCGACGTTAAGGAATAAACATTTCGTAACTATAAAGGCAGTATTATTAGTTAAATTGTTAAATAAATTCTTTATTAATGGGACAAAACTTGAACTGTACCAAAAATATATTTTTTAAATAATAGTATAATCTATGTTTTAGTTTAAAAATAAATATATTTATATTTTAAACAGCGATGTCCATTATTTATAAATATAGTAAATAAGTAGACTATTAATGATAGTATATTATCACTAAATAAAAAACAATTAACTTCTTTATTTTTTAAGAAGTTAAATGGTTAAAATATTAATGATTAAAATTTAATTACGAATGTAATAAAAAATAATGTCCAAATTAAATGAGGGATAAAATTTTTAAATTTTAAAGTTATAAATATTTAAGATTAGTTAATTTTATATTTCTTATAACATATGAAAGAAATAAAAACAAAAATGATTATTTTATAGATTTATTAAATTTTAATAATAATATTATAATTCTTTCTTATTTAATGAAATTCTCACATATAATTAAATATGAATTATTTAATAGTAAATAAGTTATATATATATATATATATATATATATATATATATATATATATATATATATATATGTATGTAAATAAAAAATTTATAAATAAATATTTTTTAAATCTATTAATCCCAATTGTGTCATGAAATCTTTATTTCATAAATTTCAAATTTATCGAAAAATTTAAAATCTATTTCGTTTTATTTAATAATATGTATTTTGTATAACAATTCCAGTTGAAGTGCTTATCAAGTTTAAAATAATATTTTATAATGATCAAGATATATAACTCCTTTACGAAGGAAAAGTTTTCTGTGAAAAGGTATTTTTTTAGCGCTATATATTTTTCGGACAATTGCCTATATTGATTTATGTGTAAAAGTATTGATATTCTTTGTGGTTAATACAAAATTTGCGACTGATCATCTTATTTACCATTCCTTAATTACATTTATATTTCCACTAAAACTATAAAAACATAATAAGCACAATACTTTAAAAAAAAAGAAATTTTACATAATTTTACATCATTTATTATAAATGCTCGAATTAAGAAATTTATCTTTTCTAAAATTTTGATAATAAAATTGTATCATATCGTAGGTTTGTTATTATTTTTAACTGATTATAAAAATAATTAATGTATCCCCACCAAACTCTCGTTTTAAAAAGATTTCGCATTAAATAGTTCGTAAATTGTATCTATATTAATTATAATTTAAGTTATATATTACTTGCTTACGTATTTATTATTTTTTAATAAAAGCACTATGACTACGTTAGATTTTTTTAATTTCTTATATTGTACATTTTATAAAATATTGATAGAAAATAGCATTGATCCTACATGAAATTGTTCTATTAATTAATATTATAGAACATATTTGTAAACAGAAGAATGAAATTTTACTTCATTTACAAATATTAATTTAGTAAATTCGATAAATTATTTCTATTAATCGACTAGTGATGATTTATAATAAATAAATAGAAATAAGCAATATTTTAAATAACTTATAAAATATGAATAACTAATCTGAAAATATTATATTTCATATTATATAAATGATTATTTTTGTTTTTAAAAGGTTTTAACACTTTTATCAAACCTATGTCAACGATTTTATCTGTTCATGCAAAAAAGAACAAATTTCCATTTGTAATAAAAATAGAATTTATTAATTGCAAATTTATTAGTTTTTCACGATATTCATTTTTAGTATATTTATTACATATAAAATTAAATTCATTAAACTAATTTTTATAATTATAGATACATTTTTTTCAAAATCCATATATCTTACTAAACATACATAAATGAATTCATTACTTTTTTATGTATATATACATAATATATAATATAATATATAATAATTAAAAATACTGTATATAAATTCTCTTATATGACTATAGGCAACTTTCAATTAAATTTGATTTCTGTTGATATTCATTCATATTTTGATTTTAATTTATAATTAAGTTTTTATAAGTTTAATATAAATTAATTAAATAATAAATTTTAAGAATATATTTCTCTTCTTATTTAAATTCGAAATAAAATAAATATTGAAAAAATTACCGAAAATAATGTGTCAAATTAAGAAATCTAATAAATTTGAATTTATTGCATAAAAATATTTAATGTAAAAATACAAAAAAAAAAATGAATAAAAGCCTTGTTGTCTTTAATATTTAATTGGTTATTAATCTGATTATTAGAATAATATTAAGTCTCAAATAATTCTATCTTTGTTCCAAATAATTTTGTGAAATTAAATGAAAAATTACAAGATATCACTATGTACAATATACTCAATGATATAAATTTAATCAACAAACTTACCTTTATGCAGATACATAACAGGTAAATATATAAAGCATAATGACATACAAAAACTAAACGCATATAAAATTCAACATGTTAAATGTTCACTTTATACATTATCAATTTTATTTATAAAATAATAATTGTAAAATGCATTTACAACACAATTTATGTGCTTTTGTACGAGTACATTATACTTACAAATAAATAGATTGTATTTTCAATACAATCCAACCAAGATAAAGTTTTAAAATGTGCTAAGGCAGTTTTATTGGTGATTATTTTATTCTAATTTAAGCTGGAGATATTTTCGAAAGACTCGAAGTTGCAACTTTCATATTATATTTTTAATATAAAGATCAGACCAAATGAGGTTCATTAATAGATATAAAAATTTTAATATATGAATGATTCAATAATTTCTTCAATTAAGAAATTTTAAATTATAATCTGTTTTATTATATTCTAAGATATCTTGGAGCTTTACAAAAAATGTTATAAAATTATATTATTATTAATATAATTGTAATTATTTATAATATTGTGATAATTATTATTAAGTTTTAGATAAATAGTTATCACTTTCAATTAATGTGCCATTTGGTTTTCAGGTATCCGTCCTTTAAAAATAATTCGTCAACAATCAGAAAACAAAAAATTGGATAGTGTAAAATTAATTAATTAATTGATATTGATTGCAAATTGGCTAGTAATTAAATTTCTTAATAAATATTCATTAAATTATTTGAATTCGTTAGAAGAAAGCCAATGAATTCAAAATTTTTATTAAAATTACAATGTTATTATAAAATTTATGAAAACCACAATCTTACTATAAAGTTTTATTGTTAATATACTATATGAATAATAATTACCACTTTAAATTATTCTCTTAAAAGCTTTATCGTTATAAATCTTTTAAAGTAAATTATTTTATTTAATTACATTTGTATGTAGTAAAAACAGCTCTTTTTTGAAATTAAATTAATTCTTAAATTGACTAAGAAATCTTTTATTTTATCTTGGAAGATAAGAGTGTCTTGTTAGTAACATCAAAACAAAAGGATGTGGTGCATACCTACCACGATTTATTAAATCCCGAATGAAATTAGGGGAATGAAATATAGAAAGAGACAGATGTTGAAGAAATATAAAAGGACCGGCATTTCCGTTGGTGGCGCAAGTGTTTTTCGTACTTCTAAGATTGATTCTTTTTCTATAAATTGCATTTTTGCTGTTGACTTAACACATTTAATAATTAGTTGCTTGTTTACTTTTCGTAAGTATATTTACTATTTTATATTTTTAACCATTGTAATGTTTCGATGCTTTAAATAATTCTTATATTGTATATAAAATTGCAATTACATCCTTTTAAGACAGAATTTATAAACGCAACTGACATCTTGCGGTATAAAATAGTTTTTTCTTGATATATTTTATTACTTTATTTTTAAATTACCTGTAGAAAATGTTTAAATTTAGCAAAATGAAATTTAATTTGCCACTTCGTTATTACAAATACTTGACACGTCAATCAAATTTTCATACTTTTAATCCTAATAGAATTAGTAAAAATTTAATTTACACTACCAATTTTACAGTTTTTCATAGGTATTTAATCATTTGTTTAATTTAAAAATAATAAGATATATGTAATTTAAGTTATTTTTGAGGTTAGAGTAATAATGATAAAACAAATTTTTTTAGTAAATGCCGATTTTCAAAATTACAGTTTTAGGTTAACTTTATTAATTTAAAAAAGTAGTGAAACAAGCAAAATCAGATATTTTCATTACTGTTGTAACATTGTGTAAATACTTATAATTTCTTATTAAATGCGATATTAATTTATTTAGTTATATTGAGTTAAATAAATTTAATCTGTACTTACAAAATTAAACAAACTTTAAATTTTTTAATTTTATTTTCTAGTCATTACCACATCTCTATAAAAATGAGTGATGATATTTCATTATATACTTTACCTAATACTCAACCAATAGTTCAACTGGAATGTACAGCAGCATTTAATGCTTTATCATTGAAAGAAAAATTATATGCACATTATCTTAGTCAAGCAGCATGGAATGGAGGTCTTATAGTATTAATACAAACTTCACCAGAATCACCATTAATTTTTGCAATTTTACATAAAGTTCTCCTCAGTGAACCAATAGCAGATTTGAAAAAATCTGCAATTGTAGATGGTATTTCAGAAGATGAATTTGTGGTAAGTTTTCCATAAAATCATTTTACATTGATAATCATCTTGTATATATATGTTAAAATAAATTCTAATTACTACTATTCTAATTTCTACTATTGCTATTAATATGCTAAAGAAAACTGAATAATTAAAATATCTTGAATTTGAAATATTTGTTAAAATTTATATAAAATTTCATATTTTACAAAATAATTTTTCAAATACATAATAATCATATATTTATTTCCAGTCATTTTTAGTATATGTATGTGGAGTATTTTCCAATGCTGGTAATTATAAATCTTTTGGAGATAGTAAAATAATTCCAAATTTGTCTAAAGATAAATTTGAATTGATAATTAAAGCTTCTAAAGCTTATAAAGATGATTCTTCAAGAGTGCAATTTCTTTGGGATGAAGTTAAAGATCCATTATATTCATTAGAAGAAAAAGTAAAATCTTTAGGATTGGGAAGTAAAGGCATTACTACATATTTTTCAGATAATTGTACAGAAGATGATGCTAAACTTGTTAATGAATTTATGCAGAAAAAACGTCTAGAATCTTATAATGCTAGATGTTTTAAAACTGATGTGAAAGGTGACAGTTACAAATGTAAATACGAGATAAGATTAGCTTCTACTGAAACAAGTAATGATCCTAAAATTACTCTTTCTGAAGAAGTTTTTAAAGATGCTTCATTTAAAATTACTAGAGGAGATTATGATTTGCTTCTTTTATCTGTTGTGGAAAACTTAAAAAAAGCTAAAGAGCATGCTGCTAATGAAACCGAAGTAAATATGCTTAGTAAATATATAGAACATTTTGTAACTGGTTCATTGGAGGAGCACAAAAATGGTTCTAGATATTGGATTAAAGATAAAGGGCCTGTTATTGAAACTTATATTGGCTTTATTGAAACATACAGAGATCCAGCAGGTCAAAGAGGAGAATTTGAAGGAATTGTTGCAATGGTAAATCGTGATATGTCTAAAAAATTCTTGACTCTTGTTAATAGTGCAGAAAAATTGTTGCCAAAGTTGCCATGGGGTAAAGATTTTGAAAAAGATCAGTTTTTAAGACCAGATTTTACTTCTCTTGATGTCCTAACATATTCAGGATCTGGAATTCCTTCTGGAATTAATATTCCAAACTATGACGAAATTAGGCAATCTGAAGGTTTTAAAAATGTCTCGCTTGGGAATGTTATTCCAGCTGCTATGAAGCAAGATGTTATACCATTTTTATCAGAGGAAGATCAAGTTTTACTAAATAAACATAGAATTACAAGCTTTGAAGTACAAGTGGGCTTGCATGAATTACTTGGTCATGGAAGTGGGAAATTATTAATAAAATTAGAAGATGGTTCATTTAATTTTGATAAGGATAAAGTAAAAAATCCCATTACTGGTGAATCGGTAGCACGGTTTTACTTACAAGGAGAGACTTATGATTCCGTATTTGGGTCTCTAGGATCTTCTTATGAAGAATGCAGAGCTGAAGCTGTTGGACTTTATTTAAGCTTAGAAAAAGATGTAATACAAATATTTGGATATGAAGGTTCAGATGCTGATGATATTATATATGTAAATTGGTTATCTTTATTATGGAATGGCTGTGCAAGAGCTTTAGAAATGTATCAACCTTCCTCAAAAAAATGGTTGCAGTCTCATTCTCAAGCTCGTTACGTACTACTTAGAGTTTGTATTGAGGCTGGAGACGATTTTATCAAAATTGTTGAAACAGATCCTGGTAAAGATTTAAGATTAACAATGGATAGAAATAAAATAAATACAGTTGGTAAGAAAGCAATTGCAGACTTTTTGAAAAAGTTGCAATATTACAAAAGTACAGCTGATGTAAAAGCTGCTCGAGAATTATATGATAAATACAGTGAAGTACCTGAAAATGGTCCACATCCATGGGCTAAATGGAGAGACATTATTTTGTCACGAAAACAGCCTCGAAAAATATTTGTGCAATCAAATACAACTGTAGATGGTAAATACTTATTGTAATAAATTTTAATTCGATCTCTTTAGATAAGCAATAATAAATTCAATCAAGTAGTTTATCATAATTTATTTCCTATTTACTATTTAAAATTCCAAAAATAGAAATAATTTTAGCATATATTATAAATATAGGTAGTTTAAAAATTTACCAATATTATGTACTTTTATGAACAGTTTGATTTTTTTTTATATTATATTTGTGAAATGTTAAAATAAATATATACAATTATAAAATCTTATAATTCTTTTCAGAATCTGGAAATGTTATATTGAAGAATTATGAGGCTACTTATGAAGGATTAATTCAATCATGGATAGAAAGATTTCCATCATACAATGTATCTGAGAACCTTATCAAATTATGGGAAAAAGATCAAAAGTTCTTTACTCCTGTTACTCTTAAAAATTAAAATTTTATTATCAATGATTATATCCAAATCATATTGAAAGACATTTAATTATATTTTTTACAAAAAAAAACAGATTATAATATAAAAATTTAGATAATTTATATTTAAGTATATTTTTCAGTTTAAAATAAATATTTTCAATATATATATATATATATATATATATACATATACATACTGAGCATTTAAAACAAGGTTCTTTAAAACTTTTCAAAGTTAATTTGTTGTGATTATTTATTTTGTATAAAGTTTATCTGGTATCAATATCAAATAATATCAAACCAAGTATAATGTTCATTCATAAATATGTTTAAGTATATTAATTTTTTTATATGTTAAGTGATGTAATCATTTTAATAAAGATAAATAAAAAGATGAAAAAATGATTATTTTATATATGAATATACTAACTAATATTAAGTAGCTGCAAATGCATTTTTGGATAAATTAATAAAAAAATGTATTTTTGAAAATATATTGCTTTAAAAATAAGTACAATTTATCAGTTGTCTATAACATTTGTTTTATAAGTACACAGAAAAATAACTGTTTAATTCATTATTTAGAATAATAACACTACTTATATATGATTTTATATCGCAGCTATAAATTTTATTTAAAAATAAAAGGTCATCAAAATTTTGTCAACCAATTTGGATAATAAGTGTACAGTAATTATCTTGTAGTATTCATTTAAACATATTTTTTATTCTTATATTCTTAAAATGAATGAATTTATTTTATAATAAATATTTCAAATGAAATATAAATTTTACAAGATATTAAATGTCCCATGTTGCAATTATATAAAATTAATACGTAAATATTATTAAAAATTTATATGTAATAATTTAATATTTATCTTAAACATTTAAAATTAAATGTTTAAATAATTGTATATTACAATAAATTAGGATCGTATTTTATATTAGTAAAGTATTTTAAAGAAATTAAAAAAACTATAAACAAGTTTACAAAATAAAATATTTTTATAATGATTTATAATGATTATTTTATAAAATTAAAATTAAAACATGTATTTACATAAATAAAAAAAATTATAAAGGAACCACGGCAAATAAAGCATGTTTTATTTTACTAAACGTTATTATACCAAAAAATAAATTGTTAGCTCATTAGAAATTATTTGATTATTTGTTATGAAATATTATTTCAGTTTGACATGTAGTTTATTTCATATATTCTTAAAATAAAAATTAGTTTCGATTGGTAATTTTCCTTTTTCTAATATATAATGTAAAATAGTTGGAACTAACAAAATTTTTTCCATTCATTCATAATTTATTTGAAGTTGGTTTTTTAAAACAAATTACTAATAAAATAACATTTATAAATTTGGTTTACAAAATAAAGCCTTCTCAGTCAAATTTCCAACTAAAATGTATTCTTTTTCATGCATAAGGTAAAACAAATCATCCAAAATAAATGCGCGAGGACCACGTTGTTGTAGAAAATTTGGCGGGAAGATATTTTTACTTGTAGTGTAGTATCGAGTAAAATGGTGGAAATAGAAGATCTTGTAGAAAAATTTGAAATTACTGGGTATAAAAATCTCAGTAACGAAGTTCTTAAAAAATGTAAGTTCATGTTCGATTTATAAAATGTTTGATCTTACAAATATAATTAATTTAATTTTATAAATCTAATTTTTATTGCGGCACACAAAAATAAATCATATGTTGATACCAATCGAATTGTTAGAAAGCTTAAAATATTATTCATTTTATAGAGTTGTATAACAATTTTGAAAGATATAAGAACAAATAATTAACATTATTTATTCCTGTTTTTATTTCAGTTTATGAAATATTTTTAATAATCTAACCTCAATTTCAGGCTTGCCGGTAATTTTTTTCAGAATGATAATGTTTTTATTTACTTTGAAAATTTTTTATTTCACAGGTATCGAATTGTGTTATTTATTTAACAAAGATGAAGAAGAATTTATAGATATGTGGGTTGCTTTTGGTATAAGTCATTTAGACGGAAATATAGAGCCTACTTTAGAGACTTTAGATAAACTGAAACTTCATATTTCAAAAACTGAAAATCTAAATAATAAAGAATCATTTGAAAAACAAAAGGAAGCCAAATATTTTTTAAATACAACGGATTTTAATAAATGGATGTATCCTTTAATATTTAAGATTAATTTATTAAAACAATATTTGTAATATAAAATTTTGTTTGCACATTTTTTTTCAATATTATATTTTAATTTTAATTTGAATATATAAAATGAAAGGAAATATAATATTTAATCATATATATATATATATTCATAAATAATTCAAAGCTATTCTTAACTAATATTCAGTAATACTGAAAATGAAATCTTGGAAATCTATGCCAACCCTGATGAGTTATCCTTGATGGTAAGATCTTGTAAATAGTTTACTTTTATTTTATTTGTTATTATATTTATATATTATGTCTTATATATTCTAACATTATTGATTTAATTGTAGCATTGGTAAATACACTCATTTAATTAAATGAATTAGTTTATTTAATTGATTTAACTTAAAAATTGACGATATCTGTTTGTATTTATTAGTTTTATTGTGTTAATAAATTTGTTAGTCAAAAAATAAAAAATTTAAACTAACAATAGATTATTGTACTAGATGCATTAGAGAGCATTAATAAATTATAACTATCCACTTTTACTAATTATAAAAATTTAGCTACAATACATTTTATTAAATTATTAAATATCTTTAATAAATAATTATTAATATTCTTTCATTGCGCAAATGTAAAAATGATTTAGTTATAACCGGTATTGAATAACAAAATAAGTTTTTACTTTATAAATTCTGTATTGAAAAAATTTAAAATAATCTATATTTTAATTATTTTTAACTTTAATTTATTATAATATTAAAAAGATCACAAGTACAAATTTTTCGTAATCAAGTAATGGTTCAGTAATGAGGAAACTTTAATTTATTATATCATAATTTATTATGAAACTAAGAGTTTAAATAAAAATATAGTGTTTAGTACCATAAATTTTATATATTTTATATAATTTATGAAATATTTTCTTTTATTGTGACACGATATTAATATTATCTGTATTACTGAACTGATACTTGTATACTGAAGCAATTATTTTATAAAATAATATTGATAAATTACTGCAAATCGGTTAGAAAAAGAAAATTATAACACATTATATATGTCTTATTCTTGGAAATAAATTTTTTTTTCTTTATAGCTTTGACATATTTTTATTAATATTACTTGTGCAAACTAGATTAGTTACATTTACGTTGCTCTTTATGTAATTACTTTAATTTGTAGATTAATAATAAAACACTAAACGTATGCAAAAATTTAAAAATATATAGAAAAATTAACAATCTTATTAAATATGTACCGCCTGGTTAAATACATGTATACTATTTGCTAATAATTTAATAGTAATCGACAACATACCAATATTAAAAAATGATAAACTGATATTAATTTTAACCTGCTAATTATTGATTTTTGACATTTAAAAACTGTCAGAATGATTTGGTTATTGTAATGTACATTTATATGCATATGAGTATACATGTGTGTATATGTATATATGCATTGTTGTTTTCGTTAAATAATACATTTAGAATTTACCGAATCGAATTCTATTTGAAGATATTTTCTTTTACACTATACAGTATGTTAAATTGATAGTATACGAATAATAACTTTTAAAGTTTTATGCGTAAATCTGTACATATTTGTAATTACGTGTAGTAAATTACCAATTCATAAAGTTTGAAGGAGAATTATAAAAATGAGTTTAAATAAATTAACCAACAAATATATGTTCTAATTCATCGTAATAATATTATTGGAAAATAAATTAATTTATTTAAATAAGCACTGTACTATCTCTTTGAAAATTACATCACTAAAAATTATAATATCAATCTTTTAAAGTGATAAGAGTAAAGAAGAAAGATAGTACATAGGTCGCCTGATCCGAATGTCGACGGAAGGGACCGAACAAACCCGGTAAAATTGTATACCCACGCGCTATCGAGATAATTCTCGACCGTTAAACAGTACTCACGTGTGTTCAAAGAAATTTATTCTTCTTCGTGACGAGTTTCGAAATCGTAAACTTTTCCAAACGTCAAACATAAAAAATAAATAATTTCTGCTAGACACCTTTGTAAAGCTTCTGTAATTTTGATAACGATAAATTTAGATTAATTTGCACAAATGAAAAAAATCTTAAACGAAAGTGTAATATATGATCTCAATTGAAAATTTTTTATATACTTCTAAATTTTCCTTTCCTCCTAGTTAAATTTTCATTAATATTTTATTATCCTTTCATTTCTTTTTGAGTTTAGTTAATGGATAGATGAGCTTTCCAAAGTACTTTTTATTTTCTAGTCAATGGATCGATGAATTTTCCCAAATACTTTTTATTTTCATCTCTTGAATAAAATATCGAAAAATATTAGTTTAATCAAATAATCAAATAATAGCAGTGGAAAGTATCAACTTTATTGTAAATTCGGTACGTTTTATATATTTATTATTATTATACAGTATGATAACATATATATATATATATATATATTACATTGTTAGGAACAGTGAATTTATTTTATATAAGTTGAAGTCTTGTACTTAACTAAAAAATAATGAATATATTTCATCAAAACAATCGTCAAGTTTTAATAAAACAAACTGTCATCTTTTAAAAATATGACAATATTATAAATATTATTGCTACTATTATATCTGGAATTTTAGAAGTTTAACTTATAATTATATTTTTACTAAAATCATGTATTGATTTTTATTAAAATCTTATAAGATCTAACTTATTAAATATGAAGAATAAAATACCTTCAACATTATACGCCAGTAAAAATGATGACGTATCAAATAAAATTATCGAATCTTTACCAGACATATTACTTACATGTGTAAATTTTTACATTTACGTATTGTCAAAATTTACAAAATCTTCCACTTCAAAAAAGTTGAAAGTAAGAAGTAAATAAAAATA